TGTGTGCACGAGGTGCGCCTTGTGAAAATGCGGTGAACTGAGGAATTGTCAATTACATCGGATTAATTTCTGATGGCTCTCATGCCGGAACATTTTACTTGCGCTTGCACATTCATCTCTCGCTTATTTGTGGTATCAAAGAAAGCAAGTGCCTTGAATTTCTATATGCTCCCTATGATGTTTCTTGTCTCATTTGGTGAGTTTCATTAGCTGTTCAGATTGCCTGATAATGTGCAACATCGGAAACTTCCAAATGTTCCACTTGAATTTAGTGTTTATATTTTTTAAAAATCACCTTGGAGACATTGTCTTCATTGGTTTAAGACTTTGGCCAAAACTAACCCCGAATCTTCATCATTGATTTCTGTCGTATTCTTGTGGTGCGTTCGTTAAGTAACCTGGAAGCAACGTGTGCCGCAGCGTCAACGCTCACAGGTTGACATTTTCCCACAACTTTACACACTGTAAAAGGACATTTGGGGTCACTGTCAGCACTGGCATTCGTAAAAAAAATTTGGCTTGGAGCCCAGTCCAGAATCGGGCTGAGGGGGGTGGCTGTAGGTGAACGTATGCAAGCAAGTATCAAGTTGTAAAATAACTCAAGACAGTTAATATCAATATGGGAACACATGGGAGGAAATGTCAGCCAACCCCCGTAAGCAGTGGATAAGTTTGCTGTTTAGCCCACTCGGTCAAGAGGGTTGAAGAACAAAGGGGAAATAAAAAGCCATAGCGGCAACAGCACAACACAAATCCCATCCGGCGGACGGGCAGCAACTGTTGCCGACAGTGCAGCCAATGCTTTCGCTCAAGGGGCTGGTGGCTCTCATCTCCACCGGCGCGCAGGGGAAATGCTGCTGTTGCTCCACGCTGTTCTCCGCAGTCCGTCATCGTTCAGTGACGGACGGCCGAAGTGTGGTCGTAAAACAAAGTCTGAACGAGAAGCACAAGCACTCACGACCATGATAGATGATGATGCTGTGGGGAAGACTTTCGTCCAGCAGTGGGTTGATCATAGCTCTTGATGGTGTGTGTGGGCGCCACGGTGGCGAGATGTTAACTCCCTTGTCCGGTATACAGGAGGCTGTTGGTTCGATCCCAAGACTGACGCTTGTATACTTGGAGTTTGCATGTTCTCCCTGTGGTCGTGTGGATTTTTCTCCTGGTCCTCTGGTTTTTTCCCTCCACATTTAGAGATGTGCGTCGAGAGTATTTGGCTGCTACCATAAGTTTCCACTTGATAAGCCACTTCGTTGAGCTATCGTTTATGATAGCCAGGTCTCTTCTCAGTGGGCCTTGTCTGGTAAAATAAAAACTAGTTTAGTTTTAGCGTGTTTGTTTTTATCTTGTAGTAAGGGTGCTAGACACAGCACATAAGCGGCTGCTGCATCTCACCCTCCCACTGGAGAGACAGAGAGAGCAGTCCGTACCCTTGTGCACAGTTTCGTGTCCACAACACTGCATCGTGCGACATTTAAATTATAATGATTAGGAGGCGTAACGTTTGGAGCAATACGCACATCTATTAATCTGATATATATATGAAACTCAAAGTTAAAAAGTGTATTAGGACTTCAATGTTTTTGTAGAATGTCTCGGTTTAAATAATTGATACTGTTGCACAATACATTTTTGTGTCTAGGGGTTTGCTAATTTTTTTGCTTTGCAGTCCTGTCCTCTGCATCATCAACACCTGTGTTGCTAATATTTTCTCAGGTATTTATTAAGAAAAATAATGTTATATAAACCGGTCGTTTATTTAGAGACAACGTGCACAGCGCTATTTTTTTTAAATTTGCCGTTGAATGAGGGTCGCCTCACACCGTGTTTCATTGTGGGTATTTTATTGGGCCGTACCTCACCACGCTTGCTGATGTTTTGGCAAAATCAAGAGCAGAGCGGTAGGAGCACAGACGTTTATTACAACAATGCATTTTACTGCAATGCCCACTATGTAGCCACACAGCTGCCTATAAGATCTGCTATGCATGGTGATCACTTATCCAAGCGCAAAGCCAGGCGCAAAGCCAGGCGCAAGCTCTGCTTAGCTTCCAAGATCTTGATAGGACGCAGGCGCATTCTGAGTGAATTGTTCACAGGAATGAAACCTGCGTGCATCTCAAGTAGAGTATATACAGTGCCTGCTTCTGCTCCGACACCTAACCCCCCCTCCCAAATTACGTGACACACCTGGTATCGACAATCAAGGGTGTTTCCCTGTCCCCAGATGACCTGCTTGTCAGTTTTGATGTGGTTTCCTTATTCACCAAAGTTCCTGTACCTGACACCATCGTAATCATTGAAGACTTGGTTCATCAAGGACTGCATACTGATGTACCCCCCCTGGTGAGACACTGCTTAACCTACACATACTTCACCTGGAATGTAACTTTCTACAAACAAACTGAGGGCACCCCAATGGGCTCCCCCCTATCTCCGGTTGTAGCCAACGTTTTCATGGAAAAATTTGAGACTGACGCCATCCAAAACTGCCACTCTACGTGCGACCTTATGGAAGAGGTACCTGGATGACACTTTTGTCATCTGGCCACATGGCCGGCTTGCTCTAGACCAATTCCTCGACCACATTAATTCCATATACCCAGCCATCAGATTTACCATGGAAGTCGAAAAAGATGGCAAGGTACCCTTTTTGGATGTCCTAATTAAAAGGAGACCTGATGGTTCAATGAGCCACTCTGTCTTCAGGAAAGCTACCCATACGGATGCTTACTTAAAACCGGATTCCCACCACCATCCATCCCAGCAGAATTCCCTCATAAAGACTCTATACCATAGAGCCCAACGCATCTCCGACCAGGAACACATTGCCAGTGAACTGAAGCACGTACACCAAGCTCTTAAAGCTAATGGTTACTCCGACAATCCGCCAAGCCATCACTGCAACCATGAAGAAGGAACCTCTTGAGGAGCCATTCAAAGCCATCACCTTACCCTACATTGCGGGGGTCGCAAAAAAGATCTCCAAAATCCTGAATAAACACAAGATCCAGGTCCGATTCAACACAGTTGATGTGGTTCCAGACATACAGTACCCGGGCATCTACAAACTAAGTTGCCTCTGTGGTAGCAGCTACATTGGAGAAACCAAACGACATATCTCGGACCGCATCCGTGGACATAAAGCAGACTTGAAACACGGTAGGACGAACACCTCAGCCGTGGCAGATCATTGTTATAATTCAGTGGGCTCACATGACATTGACTTCTCCAAGACGGAGGTTCTCTGCAAGCCATCCGGCTACCATGAGAGATTCGTTCATGAGGCCATCCACATATAGAAACACAGAGACAATTTGAACCGAGAAGATGGATTCTGGCTTAGTAACCATTGGAAAGATGTTATAAACCATTTCGGTTCTTGATTGATTGTATTTTACGGTGACTTTCATGCCGCAGTCCATTCGCTGGCACTGCCTCTTAGTACCTTTCACACGACGGTCAATGGTATGGTTTATAGCATGTTGTATAATAATAAATAGTATAACAGTGTAATGTTTAATATAATTAATAAGGCACTATATAATATCGTAATTGTATAGTGAATATACAGCAGTGTGGTACACAGTAGGGTTGGTAGAATAATACATAGTGTAATATTACAAGTCTATTATTTTACAGTCTAAAGTATAGGGTAGTGTATAGTAACGCGTTGTATAATTCAAGGGTGGGGTTTGTCTGTGGCAGTGTATATTACGGTGTATAGTCATGTAATTTAGAAAAAAGTTTAGTTGTAGGCATATCAATATAATGCATAATGTTAGAGCTTACATTGGGCTGTGTATTCGATATTATACAATGTAGTTTAGATTGGAAGGTATAACATTGTAATGTATAGTAGTCTAGTTTATAGCATAGTTGTAACGCAACACAGGACAGAGCAGCACATCGTGGCTGTTTCTCTCTCCCCCCTCCTCCGTTCTGAGCATAGATGGACTCGTCCGTCTGAACAAAGCTCGTCACTTTCCGTGGTGCTAACGTTGAAAAGAAAAAAGAAACCGCCACTTTTTCCGACATAGTTCAATGCTAATCCCTCACACTAAAATTATGCTAATCTCCCAGTTACATGCTAATTTCTGACTTTAACATCCTGCTAATCCAGCACATTAACACAGCTACTTCAATGCTAAATTCTTCTGTTGATATGTAAACTCCTTTGTCAAGGCACTCTGCTCCTCCCACCCAGCTTAAAAGACGCTGCCAAGCTTGCCAGTGTTCACTGAAGCGCTGTCTTCCCGACAGTTCTGTTTCTTCACCTGAGGAAGGCCACTTGTGTTGTGGCCGAAATGTCGTGATAATTTTCTTTTATTATGTTATATTTTTATTATTTTATTTCCATTCTGCGTGACTTTACCGAAAGAACCAAGAAGATACGTGTTATCATTTCCCTCCTCTGTTCATTGTGTGGTCTTACAAGGCAAGCTGATTGTTTGCCAAACTAGCGGCTAGTTGTGTGAATGTCCTGAGAGTTGGGCAACCGTGCACGCACAGGTTGGCTGGCGCGCATTGTCACGTCACGGAAGGTGTGCACGCGGTTTTCACGCCCTCAGGCAGCTGCTGCCGTAGGCGCATGTCTCCAGTAGTGAATTAATAAGCAAAAAAATATGCGTCTCGTCAGTCGACTGGACTCTTGTTCGAATTGACGTTCGTGATAAAAAAAGGCGCCTTTTGTTTAATACGGAATAAATGGGCACCCAAAACGGTTCATTTACACATCTGTCCCTACACACACACACACACCCACACACTGTCTTTAACACATTCTGAAATTATGCACTCTCAGAAGACTGTGGTGGGTGATGAGATGTGTGAAAGAAAATACTTTTGTTCGGAGCTTTCTGTTTCATGCAATCATCCCAGGAGGGAGTCTTGTGTCTGGTCGCTTGCAGTGAGTAACACGGTGCTGTGCATGTGTTTGCGTCTGCTCTTGCCACGTGTTTGCGTTGGCTAATTTCTTCCGCCATTTCGTTTGGCCACAGATCAATGAGCTGACCCATGTGCCCATCCCCGTCATGCTGCTGCCAGACGACTTCAAGGCTTTCACGAAGATCAAAGTGGACAATCACCTATACAACAAGTAAGCCGGCTCTAGACCGCGACGTGTGTGCATTTGTATGTACGCACGTACGATGAACTTCTCTGGCACTACGTAGCGAATCGTGCTAATCATCGGAGGTATCCACTGCCAGACGAAGGCCTCCACAAGTAGCCATTTATTGTAGTACTTGCGATGCCACAACCCATCTAGCTTCTCAAAATGTCTGGTTCTCATTGTTTACATTTTGTAGGGGTGTTTTCTTCGCTGGTGGGGGTTCGCTCCTTTGGCTGCAATTCTGTCACCGGTCTCCCCTCCCCCTTCTCCCCGTTGGCTATCATCCCTCCTCGTGATGTGTGCTGCCCTATGTCTATTTGCTTTTCTTATTGGTAATTTTGACTTCTCTTGATTTGCATTTGTTCTCTTGATTAATGTGCACTCTTTGTCTCTGATTGTAATTCCCGAATGACTTTTCACACTTAAGTTTTTGATCCATTTTATTCGTGATTGTTCTCGATTCTGTATCGTGTGTAAAAGCTGGTGATTTGAAGTCGTTGAAAACGTATTTCTTTCAGCACGCTGTACTTTTTTTTTTGGCTGCCGTGGTGGCGAGATGTTAACTTCCTCGCCTGGTATACAGGAGGTCGTGGGTTCGATCTCGACCCTGATGCCTGTATATTTGGAGTTTGCATGTTCTCCCCATGGTCGCGTGGATTTTGTATCCGGGTCCTCCGGTTTTTCCCTCCACATTTAGAATCAACATGCATTCAGAGTATTTGGCTGCTATAAATGTCCATGTGATAAGCCACTTCATTAAGCTATTATTTGTGGCCAGGTCACTTCTGAAAAAGAGCTGTATCGTTCCCTGGGCTTTACCTGGTAAAAAAAAAGTAATTATATGGGGAGTGTAGCAGTTAGCGCTCTGCGCTACGGACCCAGCTGCAGGAATTTGATTCATGCTCATGGCCAACACCAGTGACGACTATCTGAACCACGTGATAAGAAGCCACTTCGTTGAGCTGTCATTTGTGGCCAGGTCACTTCTGGAAAAGAGCTCTATAGCTCAGTGGGCTTTACCTGGTAAAAATAAAAACATTGTTTAGTTTATTGTTGCTTTTTATGACCACAAAAATTTTCAAAAGCTCTTCAATCCGCCTCTCACTTGCCTCGGTATTTAATCGGTTTGATCCCAGTCTGCCTTAAGTAATTGTCCCAGATTTGCGTTGTCTGTTGCGCGCTTCACTTGTACACCTGCAGTTCTCCCCTCTTAGTCAGAAAACCTGCAATATACTCTACTTTTATTTCCGTCATAGTCTTCTCTGTTAAGTTCCTCATCAGTCTCCACGTATAGCTGGCAAGTTAATTTACATACAAAGGAAATTGAAGATATTTGAAAATATGAATCTCCAGCACCTAATTATGTGGTTATCATATGAAATTGTTGGAGCCTTATTTCAATGTGTGATGCTAACTTATTGCGGGATAAATCATAAGGTTGTAGTAATGAAAGCGCTAAGTAGCGTAAAAAATGCATTTGGAAAGATACTAGGACAGATTTCATTGTGTGTTTGCAATTGAACAAAGAAAGTTAAAATAAAGTACACGAAATTACATTATCTTAAGATTGCTTTTATAAATCTAAAATTGAAAGTGAAAGAGGCAAAGTTTTTTTCCCTCCTAAACGACCTTAGGTAAGTTGATTCACACGGTGGTCGCCGACACACTCCAACTCCTTGCGTGTGCAAACTCCATCCTGTATGCGGGGCACCCAGTTTATCTCATGGAAACAATGTACAATTAAAGACAGGTGACTCTCGATTATCCTGCGCTAATGACGGGGAGGACGGCCGCGGATAATCCCAAGAAATAAAACATTTCCGTGGAGCTCTATGCCAAAAGCGACTAATATAAATTATCTGAATTATATGCGTGCTCAGTGATAACACGTTCTTGCTCCTGTGCAGACGACTCGGCCCACTAAGTGGACAGCAGTAAAGCCACGCCAATCAACATCAATCAAACTCCGCCCACTGTTGTAAAGATATGCAACTACTGTACTGTAGAGGCGATTGTGTGGATTTCAGATTAACCGGAGCAAATATTTGTTCGGTCTAAGCATGTGACTTGTAATAAACTTTTCCAGGAATAACTATATATAACTATTTTTAGTTTATTAATTTGACCTTAAGGGAAAATCCATGAGTTATTAATTTATGTAAAAATCTCAGGTGCGCAGTTAATCTGCAAATTGGATAAATCGCACGCGGATAATCAAGAGTCTACTGTAGTAGTTCTGGGTGGGGGCTTACTCCCTTTCCACTGGAGGGGAGGGGGTGGGGCGAGCCACCAACTCTACCATGTGACCCCTCTGCCACCATTTGAGTTTTTTTACATTTTATTGCATCTCAGCGGAAATTAGTGGTTTTATCCCCCAAAATAATAAGCAGATGTTGCTGCCAATGAAGCGTGGGGGCGTCTGAACGTACTCGCGCTTCGTTGGCGGCAATGTCTGCTTACTGTTTAGTGCGAATGCGGTGCTTATGAGGGCTATCAAGTGTGTTGAATGTGTGTTGAGGTAGCGCTGGCGCTCGCCTATATTACATAAAATTCTTGGCCGCACGGGTTCCCGAGTGCGGAGTGGGAGGGGGGGTCTGATCCTCCCTCAAGATAAGCGATCCGCACTCCTCGTGCTTCCACTCCTTTAGGGCACTTGCACGTAATGGAAACAATGCCTGGGGTGGTAGTGCCCTACATGCACGTGACTGCGCGGATTGGCGTGCAGAGGCAGCAGATTTTGGCGCCGGAAAGGCCGCGGCTAAACAAGAGGGTGGCGGCGCACGCGAAAGCCACCGTGTCCCGAAGGAGCTGGCAACAGCAGCAACAAGCGCGGCAAGAGCACCCCCCTCGCCCCCGGAGTATTGCAAAAGCCGCACCAGAGTCCCCAGAAGGGGACGTGGGATGGCGGTTATTGAGCTGTGAACGTTGGGCTGCAGAGTCGGGCGCCCTCACAGTGAGCCCACCAGAGCATCATGGGGTGCCCATGGTGGTCCCTCTGGAGCAGTTTGAGACAAAGACGACCTGGAAAAGTGTCTCTAATGTAATACATACCTACACGAGGAGGGGGGGCACATTCAGACAGATGTGTCTGATGGGAAAGAATGCAAGGCTTGAGCTGTCAGAGGAGTGAGGTTCGAGCCCGGGGCTCGATTGGGCCGAGCCAGAAGCTCTCCTCGGCTGCCCCCAAGAGTCTGACTTGGGGGAAGGCTGCTGAGCCCCAGACAGCAGAGCCTGAGGAAGACCACCTCCCGATTACCAGGGCTCGGCTACATACGGTGCGAAAGAAGTTCAACGAACATACATGCATACAACATGGGCATTCAGACAAGGATTTCAAGCAGACCGCTCACCTAGACTCTAAGGATTGCCTTGCTTGAGCCTGCTCCTGGCAGAAGTTAAAAGTAGGCAGGGCGGGGGTGGGGTGCTGGTGAAGATGACATGGCCGACCACCCCTCTGTGAAGTCGGGCAGGGAAAAGCCTAGTCGCAACAAATGGGCACCCCTCCCTGGTGCCAAGGATGAGCCAAGTGAGGATGAGAAGGCCTCAGAGGATGAAGCCCCCCTTTGGCAAAAAACGCAAAGTATCCCTAGAGAGAGAGGGGGACGGGGGGAGTCTGCCTCATCAGCAAGGTCCAGTGGTGTTGAGGATGAAACATTTGTGAGGGATTTTTTGGTGGGGCAACGCCTGCAAATCTTAAACGTAGGGCGGTCGCCGAAATGGAGGCAGTGGCTTCAGAAGTCAGAAGAGGAAAGTTCTGAGAAGGAAAGAGGGAAATTGCCTTCCATGTTCTCTAAGCCAAAACTTGGCTGATCTTCCCTTGGATCAAAATATGTGGGACATGATCCTGCATGAGTGGAAAAAGCTGGATCTGGGTTTTAAGTCTCCAAACAAGCTTCACACTTCGCCAAAGAATCGGAGTGAGGCTCCTACTCCACTTATTCTGTTTTGACGTAGCCCTGGCCAGGATAAGTTTCCTACACAAATTGACGACCACTAGAATACTAAACTAACCTATTTTTGTTTTACCAGATACAGACCTACTGAGCTATATAGCTCATTTTCAAAGCAGACCTTGCCACAAATGGTAGCTCAACGAAGTGGCTTATCGCGTGGAAATGTATAGCAGCCAAATGCTCTATAAACGCATGTTTCTAAATGTGGAGGGAAAAACTGGAGGACCCAGAAAAAAATTACGCAGTCATGTGGAGAAGATGCAAACTCCAAATATACAGCAGGCGTCAGGGCCGGAATACAACTCACGACCTCCTGCATGCCAGGCTAGGAAATTAACATCGCCACCACTTGAAGGAAGCCTTGGTTCTGGACATGTCACGGCTCCTGAACCATAGGAGTGACGATCACTGAACTTTGCACGGATTACCGGGGCTCGGGGTTCTTCTCGAGGTTATTTTAGGGTACCAGTGGTTTCGGGTGGAGGGATTCTGGGTGATCCTTCACCAAAGAAGGTGAAGTGCAAGGATAAGGAAACGTTGCTTTTAGATAGTCACTTACAGCAAGCATGAAGGCCATAAGGGTACATGCCTAGCAAGCATTGGTCGACCTGAAGGACGCCTACTTTTACCCTCCCAATCAATGTCAAGCACCATCAATTCTTGCGGTTTCAAGTATTGGGCAGACATTGGCAGTGTCGGGTGCTCCTGTCTGCGCTTAAGGCCCCCCCCCCCCCCACACTTTTAGCACGTATAAGTTAAAGGGGTCACCAAGTGTACCCCTACTTAGACAATATTCTTACAAGTGCAAGCTCTTGGGAGGTATCAACTCACTCAAGGTTGCAACAACTCACTGAGGGTGGTAAAGGTTTTGTGCTGTATGGCCCAAAGTGCAGCCTAAGGTCCCTCCCAACAGGTCAAATATCTGGAAGCACTGGTCGCAAAAGTGCCAGGAAGGGTGTTGGTGACCTTGGGAGACATTAACCTGCCTGTGTGCTCAAGTTGAGAAAGGGTGTTGGCAAAAAAGGGTGGGGGGGTGGTATGCGCGAAGATTTTCCTTGTCATGTCGGGGCACATGACAGCCACAAACAATGGAGATGGTGCCATGGGCCAGGCTACATATGTGTTCACTACAACGGTGTCTCCTGGGCAGACGGCATCTGATCGGGGGGACGACATGCATCAAGCCCGTCCTCTCTGTCTCGGATGGCAGTAAAAGGCCGGAGTGGTGGCTCAACTCACCTCAATACGCAGACAAAGAGTGCCCCCCCCCCCCCCCCCCCCACCAAGTTGGACAGGGTAATGCAATAGAATTTTCTTCTCATGTCCTGGAACGACGAGAACCTAGTACATCTGCTGGCGTGACATCTAACCAGCATAGAGAATGAAATGGTGGATTTGCTAAGCTGGGGACAAGCCGAACCCGGGGGAGGTGGACCCTTCATCAGGAGGTCTTCGAGCAGATAGTGGCCAGGTTCTTCATTCAGAACAGAAATTGATTGGTTTGTGTCTCGAAGAGAATGCCATGCTAGGTTTGCCTCAAGGTTTTTTGTCAACAAAAGAGGATGGCCATGATGCGGGAGAAATCTACAGGGGAGGAGCGGAGGTGATCAGGTGGCTTCCAATTGACCCAGGAGATCATGGCTCTCGGATCTCCTAGTCATGATGATGGTGCAAGCTTAGCAGCTCCCACAGAGAGGAGTCTGGTGTCAAGGTCTACTGGCGTTGAACTTGACGGCCTAGAGGTTGAGAAGGGCCAGCTTCAGATGCTGCCGTGGAAGTACAATATTTACTCTTGAAGTGATGAAGGATGTTGACGTGGAGAGGGTACAACTTGCACTGGAAAAACTTGACGGCCTAGAGGTTGAGAAGGGCCAGCTTCAGATGCTGCCATGGAAGTACAATATTTACTCTTGAAGTGATGAAGGATGTTGACGTGGAGAGGGTACAACTTGCACTGGAAAAACGATGTTGTGCAGTGTGGCCAGCATGGTCAGGTTTCTGCTGATTAATTCCATAAGTGCCTTTTGCTGGCTGCATGGAAGGTCAGCTTGATGGCCATCTTGACATTCCTTAACAATGTGAGAGGAGTATTGTTGGTGGGTGTCAGCCAAAGCCATACAGGCCTTAGTGGCTCAGCCACCATCGATGTTGATCTTAAAGGGAGCAGGCGGTCCCTTAGGAGGTCACTTCGGTTTGTCCTCAAGGCCCTTTCCGATTTTTACGTCAACCTTGACATTGTCTTGCCATATTTTTGCCCTGATTCTTTCCACTTGTGAGCGGAGGCTGGATCGCGTAAGCTAGATTCAGCAAGAGCAACCCCGCTTTGTACTTGGAAAGGTTTAAAAGCCCTGGAAGAGTTTGGGGCATCTATTTGAATACGATGGCCAGCAGAAGAGCGGGGAGGGAGTCTGCCTTTAGGCAGGGATGGGGGGTGACCATCCAGTAGGCCCTCAAAGATTGAGGTCTGCGTCATGCTGGGAGATGTGATCCTCATTATAATATGGCCACGGTGATTTTGTGGGCTAGCTGGGCTGGAATGTTCAAGCGCTCGCTAAAAAGCCGGACACGCTGTGTGTCCCAGCAGGGCCGATTCGGGACGGCAGTCCTCTCAGCGAGACTGTCTCGGCCAGAGTTGAATGGAAAATCGAAGACATTTTTTCCTGCAACCTGTGGGCCTCTAATACGGGTTCATATGTATTGATCTGCAGTGTGTTGGTGACCGCCATATGAATAGACACAACTTACCTTGCATTAATCCAGATTCTTATAGGCGATCGCTGACACACTGAGTTCTCAGTACCTCTCCCAGCTAAAGTTGTTGTGTTAGAACTGTGTTTGTTGTTTGTGGGTGCATGTGTATATTGAAATGAAAAGAGTTAATTACCATTTAGTAATTGGTCATATTTGACCATTTCCAGTTAACTATAGGATGCGGAAGATAGTGCCTCTCCATATTCAACTTTGGTTGAAATGTCACAAATTAAAATGGTGAATGGATCGGTCGAATGGTGAGTGGTTGGGGGGAGCCCATGCCTGGCAATATTATTTAATTATTACAATTTCACACGAGCTTTCTGGGTGCCCCGGCATTTGATGGAGTTCGTAACGCACTGAGTTGGAGCATGTGTCGGCGACCGTCAATGAAAATCGGGATTAACATATAAGTACTAAATCCCTGTATTTATCTCCCGTTTACAGCCCTAAGTCCGGGGTTGGAAATTGCACGTACCTAAGGTAGGGACGAGTGTGACTATAGAACACATGGCTCCATTTACATGTGCAGGAATTCAGGATACATCCACTGTCTTGGCCCTTTTGTGACCACAGTTCTATTTCTTTCAACAAGTTTTTATCTGTCACGTTTGTCCAACCACCAGGCCTGCTGAATGTCATATGTCCACACGACCAGAAAAGTAATTTAACTTAAATCCGTCACACAGTGAGAACGCATTGCACTTAATCCAGACAGTCTGCATATTCACCCAGTGCCCAGCTGCACCTATCCAGTCTATTTATCACTCTGTGAAAACGTCAAGAAGACCAGTCATCCAAAAATGTTGAGATCTTGAATTCCATCTCCGTGACAGTATAAAAGAAACCTGTTATTATTTCAAAACAGTTTTGTTATTTTGCATGCAAGTTTGCAGAAGCAACAACAAGATCGCACAGAATGACCACTGCGGATTTCCCAGAAGCTGAACAAAAGATGCACCAAATGACATTGTTTTTCATAAAACCGGTTTGCTGTAAGGAAATTCACACCAAGATGTTGCCTATGAGCTACATTTGTAGCTCGCACTTATATCTGTATCTGATCATCAATTTTTTGGTGTGAAATGCCTTTTCAACGTGCCGGTTTCCTGAAAACAATATCAAATGGCATGTTTGTTGTTCATGTGATAACCTGCTTTGTTCAGCTGTGTCAGGTCTACAACAGCATTTGGCTTTGGACTCGCGATCTGACCTAAAAAAACAATCTTTAACTGTAATATTGATTGCGAAAAACCAACGGGTGCAGTAATATTGATTATAATGTATACAGTGTCCACCACACTAAGAGCACCTTGAGATTCTGTACAGTACAAAGCGTATCAAAATTAGCAGCACATTCAGAGAAAATAACATTTTAAGCACAGTCAAAACAAAAGTACAGTTAGCCATTTGAGCACCAATGCAACACACTGGGCACCATCACCCGGTGCTGATGGAGAATTGTGCTGTGATGCATAATGAATGAGGGCACGGACACCTAATTTATGCACTTTTGGAGAAGCATGCGAGTGGTGAGGACGTAGATGGAAATTCTAAAGCCAAACAAAAAACAGTGGGAATAAATCGTTGAGCATATTTAAAGGACGTAATGAGTCCAGTGTCAGGGGGAGAGAAGTACAATTTTTTATTTTGGACTTGAGGGAAATCTGCAGTGTGGACAATCAGGGCGGGTCATTTCGAGATTCAGGGATGGGAGAGGAGAAGGGGGGGGTGCGACCTGCCGTAGTTTGGAGGTTTGATACTGTGGCTTTACCCAGAGGCCTTTGGCTGTTGGCGCGAAGTGAATAGACAGGGGAGTAGTGCGGTTTAGAGGTAGGCTGAAGCAAGCCCATTGAGGATATTAAAAATTGTTTAGGGCGATCTTGTACCCGATTACAGATCGAATTGAGAGCCAGTGAAGGGGATTTGTGAATTAATATGAAAGATATTTCATCTCGTTTGTGGGTGCGAGTCAGAATTATGGGCACAGGATGTACGCTCATCTGGAGTAAGGGAGAGGAAGCTGAAAGAAGAGAGTTAGAAAAGTAAAAAAAAATGCTTAGATTAGAGTTTCAGCAGCAATGGGATTAACACCCTTGTGGATATAAGAAATTAAACAGACAATTGAGATATCTTGCTAATTTCTGATATGTTGAAAGAAATAAAAATCTGGATCAAAGACAATAGCCAAGGTTATGGACATTTTTATCAAGCGTAATATCAGAAATTCATAAGCAAATATTTGAACAAGGCTCATGAACAATGGCAGGCTTCTTACCGATGGGAAAGACCTTGCTTGTAGTAATATTCAGCTGGTCAGAGATCCAGGTGGAGGATAAGCCAAGGCAGGACAACAGAACGAGAGTGAAGTAAAAAAAAACAGAGTCAATGACAATGCAAAAGAAGTTGAGGGTTGGTTTTGAAGCTAGGAATAATTTTGCCTGATTTGGTAGCAATAGGGATGGGCAGTGGACCAAGGATATAGGCTCAAGGAACACCATAGCATAGGGGCTTGTGAGAGGGACAGCCCTTTTTAAGAGAGATGGAAATAGTGGAATGACAAATAAGAGTTGGGGCAAAGTTAAAATTGTACCGGATAGACCAATGTAGTGGTCATGCAGGCGAAGGACGACGGAATGATCGATGGCATAGAAAGGGACTAAAACTACACGATAAAAACTAAACTATTTAAAAAAATGTATTTGACCAGGTATGGCCCACTGAGCTCGTAGCTCTTTTTCAGAAGCGACCTGGCCACAAATGATAGCTCAAGGAAGTGGCTTATCATGTGTAAATGTATAGCAGCCAAATACTCCAAACGCATGTTTCTAAATGTGGAGGGAAAAATCGGAGGACCCGGAGAAAATCCACGTGGCCACGGGGAGAACATGCAGGCTCCAAATATACAGTCGTCAGAACCTCCTGTATATCAGGCGAGGTAGTTAACAGCTAGCTACCGGGACTGAGTCCAAGAAAGTAAAGGTAATGAGAGGTAATCGGACAGGTCCTCTACATGGATGTGGAATTCCCCGATGAAGATGAGCAGTGAGGGTGAGGAGAGGCCACGGATAAAAGTAAAATCAGTCAATTTAACCACGAGAGATGGGCTGTGCCCTGCAAAATAAGTTAAGATTAATAGGGGGAGCTTACCGGAGGGGTGGAGGGTGTTAAAATAAAGAATGTTTGTGAAGTGAAATAATTAGCATGAGCAAGGAAAAGACAAAGCACACAAGACGGTTTGATTTGATTTAATTGTGTATTGGTTGACAACGCAATTAAAGATGCTCGCATGATGGGCTGCCTTGCCAATGTTTTGTCATTCGAATGTGCTCCGAGGTGTCCTTTGCGGTGACGTCAAGGAGTGACATTTTGGTGCATTTGTCCCGCAGAAGAAATAGGTCACCCTAGATTGGTGAAGCCTGTGATGATTAATGAACACGACTGACATTCTCCGCAAAACAATAAATGTTTTCTATTTCGTAACAAAGTGCACACTGGATGTCACTTGTGAGCTAGAGCGTGGTTGACGTTTTATCTTTGGTAACACAAGCGCCATATTTTTTCCCCCACTCGTTTGAATGTAGTGGTGCAGCCTTCACCACGGGCCAGATGCTACTGTTGATATTCATGAAGATCGACTCTGATTAATCATTCTTGTTTACTACTTAGGCCGATGGAACGAACACAAAATTGGTGAAAAGCAATGCACACTTATGGCGTTCCTCCCTGCGGGGCACAGTCAGTCTGCTGCAAACTTTACAAATTCAGTGCTCCTATTGTTATTAACCCTTTCCCATTTCCTCATCAGTTTTTATTCCGTTCTGACTCCGTACGTTTATGTCATCGGAACAGAATCTAATCGATTCCAAATGAAATCGGAAGTTAAAGGCCATGTGGGAGGGCGTGTGGCACGTTTAGCACCAGCTATCATAGAGTGCAGTTGTGTCACTGCAGTTCTCTGCGGTGAGTACAATGTCTTTAAAAACAACGACGCTACGCCTCTAAAAAAATGAACGTTAAACCACTTGCGCTTTCCAAGGTTCAGCAGTGAAGAGGACTGTTGTATATGCCGGGTATGAAAATGTAATTAAAATGATGCAAAATTAAATGAAATCTGGAAAAATGCGTAATTGTCCGAGGTTATGTAAATTGATGTAATTATGCCCATAAATTATGCTACTTAGAGAGATAATCGTATTAATTCATGCAAATGTATGCAATTATGCTAATGTGAGGAGTTATTATAATTATGCTTAGCTTCGTTTCCCAGGGTCGTATCATCAATCGGGATAAGACAATTAATTGTATGATGTTATGCAGGTGTGCTGTGAGTATGCTAGATTAAGCTCGGCTTTGTTGTCTAGGTTTGTATTATCAATCGGTATAATACAACTATTCTCGCTTTAACATTTACTGATTATGTATTAGTGTGTTTATGTCAGGTCTCCAAATTCAAATCTCATCCGCAGGATACAGTTCTTATTAAGATTATTATGCATGAACTTGGGAAGGAACCACTCAGACACTTCTGTGTTGAGCAATTTTAATTTCTAAACAAAACCTTAACACTCTAATATGCGAATTCTAATGCTTGGAATTGTCAACACAGTAGTCCAGGAGATGTTCCCCTCATTGATCCATACATTTAACCCTCAATGATCACGTTTGTTAACCGGGTAACAGAACAATTGATTACTTCCTTAGAGTAACAGGAGCATATACGGCGATAGGAACCAAAAGTCCTTAAAAATTCATGCAACGATATTCATACGAAGGCAATAAAGAAACATGTCCTGAAGGCAAAGTATACGGTAATTAATTAATGAGCAAGATTACGTAATTGCGAAATGTCTTGGAACAAGGGTGTGTGGCAGTTTGCCTGCTTCAGCAAATACTCATCAATTGGCTAAGGCTTCATGGATTCATACATTTAACCCTCAATGATCACGTTTGTTAATTGGGTAACAGAACAAACGATTTACTTAATCAGAGTAACACGAGCATATACGGCAAATAGGAATAAAAAGTCCTTAAAAATTCATGCAACGACATTCATACGAAGGCAATAAAGAAACCCGTCCCGAAGGCAAAACGTATACGGCAATGAATTCATGGGCAAGATTACGTAAATTAGCGAAATGTTGAAACCATGGTGTGCAGCAGTATTGCTGCTTCAGCAAATACTCATGAATTGCCTGAGGTTTCAATAAATTCACGGGAAGATTCTGTGATCAAAAGAAAGATTTCAACACAATATTCTCCCTGTGAGTGTGTAGATTCGTAACTTAGGTTTTTAAACGTTTAGTTTTCATCGATGAATTCGTTGATAATTTTTGTGCAAATCAAAAAGAAACATAACTACTAAAATACTTCTAAACGACCGTTTCCCCGTAACCCAATGGCAACCGTGTTCTTCGTTATCAGTTGATACTTGACGCACTTATCATGAGTCTTCTTATTAACGATTCGTGTATGTGTTGAGT